TGGAAGTCACTCAACTCCTCCATTACCGCCACATCCCACCATTTCCAGACATGACAGTCACCATCATCAACACTCTCACACATGAAGTACCTTCGGCATGGATCTTTGCTTGTGTAAGATGTTGTAACAATAGGGTCACCGCCACAGTAGCAGGTCTTCGGGATTCCATCATCATTCTCAGGTTGAGAAGGGTCCTCTCCTATATTGTGGCTACTCTCAGCTTCATCCCCATAGAGCTTAGCTTCTACTTGAAGAAAGCTTGTTATATCTAGATCACAGTCCTCTGATGAAGAAGGCTGGCTGTAGCTATATTGTCCCATGTTTCCTTGACCTGAAAGAAGAGCAAGATAGTAGTTAATACAAATCACATAATCAAAGGTACTCTTAGAAATCACTCGTTAATAGAACATATAAACTACTCTTATTACACCAAAGCTACTCTTACAACAGTCGTTAATGCAAATGACAATGTATAACCCTAAACCCCAAATCGATTGAAACCAAATCGTTTTGAAACCCTAAAAACATATGAAAGAATCCCCAAATCGATTGAAACCAAAATCATTTAGAAACCCTAAGAACAAACGAAAGAATCCCCAAATAGATTGAAACCCAAATTGTTTTCGAACCCTAACTTCAAACGAAAAGATCCCCAAATCGTTTGATAACCCTAATTCGAACCCTAAACTGCGAAGAAAATAACACGCAACCTAATCTTAATCCACAAATCAACAAGACATCCCTTTGATTTACCTTTTAATCCGAGGAGCGCACAATCGCCTTCTCTCGGAGACAACCTTTTTTTTAAGTTTCGACTCAAAAATGAAAGTGCTTTTCACAAAACTCTTGAAACCCATATCACTTGCCCCTGCCACGTCAACAAGGACCAGGTCAAATTAATCCTTAGCTAAGGATGAGTCCGTAATTTTTCTTGTGTTTATATAAATTTTATAATCGATAAACTTAAGGAATATGTCCTAAGGACTTGCCTAAATATACCGTTGTACGTGCTCTAAGGTCAATACAACATCACATGACCAAACATACCTGAACCATCAGTTCACGATACCAAGTCAGAACCAACACGCCTAACATGAAACTCCAAACACCTAACATGAACATAAGCCACTAGAGAACAAGAGAATCAGAAGAACAACCGGAAGACACGCTTATTAAAAGGCCACGAGAATGATTCCTTCATGACTGAGAGATGGAAAGGTGACAAGAAACTAAAACTTCTAAAGAAAAATAGGCTTGTTCTGTTCACCACAAACAACCACGCCACCATCTGAACACCACTTACACCGTTGCTGAAACCAGACATAGGACAAACACTAAAATCCACCAAGAATGCCTCAGATTCAACCTCTGTCTCAGATACCAAACATCAGAATGGATAAACGATGAAGCGCAAACCAAACTAAATCCATCAACCAAGGTTAACCCAAAACAACATCATCTGAAATGGATTCTAATGAAGCGATAATTCAAGATCTATAGATCTAAAAAGAAATTAAAACCCTACAAATTCAGACATGTTAAGAGATAAAGAGGAATTGATGATGAGTAGAGAGTAGAGAAACAAAACTGTAGAATTAAACTAGAGATCTAGCTCCAGTGATGTATATAAGTCATCAGAGCCGAAGGAGCGGTGGCAAAAGACAAAGCTAGAGATCAGATAGTGTTGTTTTAAGTAAGAGAAATTTTATGTGATATCTTTATTAGTTTATTTTCACAAAATAGTATCTAAATAAAAAGATACCATAATAAATTTTATTAAAGAATAAATATATCTTTATATTTCTAGGATTATCTAACCATAGACTTTAGTTTATAGTCAGGGATGAGATTTGGAGGTGAGATCTGAAAAGATGGGATTTGAAATTTCTAAAATTGAAAATAAATAAATAAAATTAAATTAGTCTCAAAAGGAAATCTTTTTTGAAACTTAAAAATAGGTAATAGGAGACTATACAAATAGCTAATAGGAGATTATAAAGCAAAGGATAAAACATTTTTTTGTTTATTTAATGAAATTTATTTTTATCATTTTATTTTTAATAACATTTTTTTGTGACAAAAACTTAAAAGTAACTATTTAGGAGAATTGTTTTATTTGTACCAGTTGCTGGACATTGTTCTGCAGTCTATGCTTTTGCTAGAAACTTATCCAAACGTGCCAGTGAATAATATTTGTGAAAATTTACTGATACCAAGAATAATGACATTCGAACCAAATCAAATCTCAACAATCGGTTATGAAAAAGATATGGATAGTAGAAAAGAGAATCGTGTACTTTAGCAAATGAATGGTATTCTGACTCTTTGATCTAAAGGTATTCTAATTCTTTAATTTTGCGGTCAAACCTCTTAAGATCCAAAAGAGGTGATACAGATAGATGTCACATATCGTGCAAATTTTCTTATTATGGATTTGTAAAGGAAATAAAGAGTACTTTAAAATTTTATAAGTTACACAGAAAAAGTTAAGAACAATTTGTCCATCCCAGAAGGCAGACGCATCGCTTCAAAGGACCATATTTTCACAGAATGCGCTCAGATAGGATTATAGTATATGAGAGATCACATATTCAAAGGACCATGCATATACATAATTTTTTTTTTCTTTTGCCAATTTAGGTGCAATTGAAAAGAAAACTACAATGCTCCCTTTTACTCTTCTACTTTTATTCATAAGATTTTTTCCTCCAGTGATACCAAATTTCCACAAAATATACATGGAAAATCTATCTTGTCAACACACCTGGTTTATTTTTCTCTAACAAAACAATTGTAACATATTTTAATCTACTTGTTTGTTTATATCATGGGTTGAACCATTTTGACATCACATACGGACATACATTTTCAAACCAATATCTAAAAATATTTATAAAACCAGTTTCTTTCATGATGAGAAGAAATATATCTATTTGACGCTATTTCATTTCATCATCACACATACACACATATAAACATATATCTTGAATACTCTTAGTCTGCAATATTATTATTAAAAACAAATTGCAGCAAACACTTTTGTGGATTAAAGAAAACATTGTTTCAATCGTATGCTGACTAGTATGGTTAAGATATATGCTAAAACAAGTGAAAATAACCTCTCTCTTTTTTTTTTCTGACCTTTCGAGCGATAATGCGTTGCTTTAACGTTATTGATCCTAACTTGGAAAGATACAAAAAAATTTGCGAATTGGTTCTCCAGAAACTCCACATCATAGAGCTGGGAAGCAAAGGCATGCCAATCTTGTGGATTGTCAACCATTCGAACTAGACATGTCGATATCATAATGAAATATGAGCAATACGAACTATGTCTTATAGCAGATTTTGCATCGCTCATACTAAGCTCTCTAATTCAAAACTAAGCGCATACAAATCCTTTTGAACTCTCCCTAAATCTAGCATATCGTCTGGAACTCAAAACCCAAACGACTCCATTAACCAACCCATTCTCCAAGTCTGTATAGTACATTTGAAACCATTTGCTGTTAATGATATTTAACGGTACATTAAAATCATATTCAGACTTAGTTAATGCTATTTAAAATCACATTCACACAAAAACACAGTTATTTCATGATGATTGAGCTAACCACACCTACATCACTTGAATTCCAAAATTAAAGTCGTACAAAGCTACGAACAGACATAAACAAAAAAGAATGTTATCTTAGTGACCCAAAATGGTCCATTAAAAAGAACATATTCCGGTGATAGAGAATACAAAGTTGACCATTTACGTAGCCCATGCAAAAAAGAGATAATTTAAGAAATCAATATGCATTTATTCCTTCTCAAGGTTATAAATAGACAGTAGATGCATGTGAGGAATACGTACAAACATATATAGACTAGGGGAGTGTATAATAAGGAAGAGAGGTCTAATATGGCGAACAAAGTCATGTTTAGTAGCCAAGGATGACTTGCCTGCTCTTTTTCACCTCCATGATTCAGTTTTATGTTGGATTTTGGATTACTATATGCTTATAAAGAGTAGTAATTCAAAAATCATGTTGAATCTTTGTGGGTTAGGTTTCAGGCAGTCTCCTTGGCTATCTTGACATGGTTTTTCCATCCATGTCAGACCTTCTTTCTTTGTATTTTTCGAATCCAAATAAGATTTTTTTTCTAGAATTTACTACGAAAATCGTTTGAACAATCTCTGACAAAGTATGTTATTACAAAACTACCACTTTTGCATTTGTTACAAATGCATGCACACGTGGTGAGTGTATATGCATTGTTCAGAAGGAGATGTCAAAGATGAATAGAAGAATCATATTTGGTAGCCAAGGATGACTTGCCTATTTCTTTGAGAAGTAAAATGGGCATGATGTCATGTTTAAAAATGACTGTAGGTAGTTCAGTTCTTGACTATTTTGCTTACAAAAAGATACTAGGCAGTCTCCTTGGCTATCCCTATATGATCTTCTCTATCATCTTAGACATTTACCTTCATCCAAATAAGAGAGAATCGGACAGATACATGAAACATGTAATTTCATGACTGAGAATTCTTTATGTATATGTGTTCGTAAAGCAAAACATGTATACACACGCATTACATATTATATATATACTCTACACTATAATGTTTATATAATCCAAAAGGTTACTTGAATCTTGCAAGACATTGATTTGTTTATTACGTCAATATCATATGTGACAACTACCGAATTTGTTTTTAGTTTTGACTTTGTTTTGAAAAACAACTTACCAAAAATATAGTGCACAGATCTTCCTTGAGGTAACCTTATGAAATAGTTTTCAACCAATGTTTATTAAAGTACTTATCTACATCAGATCTAGTATGATTGTTAGTTTGTTATGTTTTTGCATGGTATTAAAGATGAAAAAAAAAACATTTTTCATAGATACGGCTAGTACATTTATATGTTTTTGTTTTCCGCGCAACATGATCTCTTAAGTATTTAATTTCTCGTATATTTGAGTCTATGTTTCCGGGTGGAGATAATAGAGAAATGTAGATATTTTCCGGAAAGAGATCAAGTTGCAAATATTATTGTGATATATAAAAGGAACGTGCAGGTCTGCATGAAATGACCACGTCGCACGTTCTATCCATTAACCATTCAACATGAACCTTATAATCAAATCATTAACGTAATATAATTGATACAAATATGTTTGTTGATAAAAAGACATTAAAATACACAATTCATTTTTGGAAATATAATCTTCATATGTTTTAGTTTATAGATTGTCCTTATGTTTTTGTCCATTCCTTATATATAGAGGACAAGAAGCTCCCGTGACTAAGTGAGTGACCATCGGTGAATTGAAAAAGAAAAAAAAGAAAAAGATGGAGGTGGGAATGAGGAAGCTCTCGTGGGCGTTGGCTCTTGTATTCCTTACACTGATTTCGGCATCAATGGCAACCTCGGAATCAGAGGTCCCTTTCATGGTTGTCCACAAGAAGGCGTCTCTATCAAGCATCAAATCAGGAGTCCAACGCGTCTTCGTCACCGTTGACATTTACAATCAAGGATCCTCGTAAGTCTCACTTCCATTTTCTTTCTTAAACCCTCTTAAGGCTCACAAAACTTGTTTGCATGTCCTCGCCGATCGATATTTTATCGACTAGATTCTGAATCTTGGATTTTGAATGTTTATCTACATTATATACTTTCTACGTTTTGCTCAAATATTCAAGGGCTAGAAATATCGTCAATTTTATCCATAGTTTGGTATTCAAGAAAAATTTGGATTTCTGAATAATACTTGATGATTATGAGTGCCTTAAAGAACGTTCCTGGTTTGAAATTCAATAACAAACATTAGAAAAAAGTTATTAAAAAATCTGGTTTTTGTAATTTTTTTTTTCGCAGATCAGCATATGATGTAAATCTGGTAGATGATACCTGGAATTCAAATCTATTTGAGATTGTTAGAGGCAACACTTCAAAGTCATGGGAAAAACTTGACGTGTAAGAAGTCTCTCTCATTAATTTCTAACAACAACAAGAAATTTATTTATTAACATATGGTTTTCTGGTGTGTAGTGGTCAGGTTCTGTCACATTCATTTGAGTTGAAGAGTAAGACAAAGGGTCTCTTCTATGGTTCACCAGCTGTTGTTAGTTTCCGTGTCCCTTCTAAAGGTGTCCTTCAGGTATTTTAATTATTACTTTTTGTGCTTCTGGTTTCTATAATTATGATTTTTCAAAATAAAGCCAAAGGAAGCTTGTAATTATAAATTTGTCTAACTTTCTTGAAACTTAGGCTTATTCAACTCCAATAATGCCTCTAGATGTACTTGCTGAGACCATCCCTGAAAAGAAGCTTGATTTGGTAATGGTCATTCCGTTAAAAAGTTACTTGATTCATCCACATTCTTGGCTTGTCTTCTGTTACTAACTAACTTGACTTTTCTCTGTTTCTTATTGAATCCATCTTGAACGTGGCTAAAATTCAGGCAAAGGTATGTGCGAATCAGTATCTCTCTCACATTCTTTAATGTAGTTTATAAACAGGGGAAGACTTGGTGAAAGTTGTCAATAAATCTTTATGATTATGTTACCAGTCAATTTAACATGCATCAAATGTTATATGATTCATGACCCTTTTGCGAAGAGTTTAAGCATCATACATTCATACTTATGTTCATCATGTGGTCTGATGATTGTGATTTTCTTTATTTGCAGAGATTGGTGGGTAGATTTGGACCTCAAATCTCAGTGATTTCGATTATTGTGACATTTGTGTATTTGATGGTAACTCCATCTAAGGGAAGCAAGAAGAAGCGTTGAGATTAAACTTTTTGATCTCGCCATTTTTTTCACATTTTCATGTTAGCAAAAAGATCTCTCTTTTTTGGAACCTTTATCATTTGTAGTTGACTTTTTTTTTAACTATTGTGTTTTTCGAATCAGACCAATAGCACAACCCTTTACCAAAAAGAAAGTCAGACCAATAACAAGAGCATTTTAATTTCATTTACTAAAAAACAATTATACAAAAAATAGAAGATTCAATTTTCATATAAAACTGAACAAGAAAAGTGATCACTATAACGACAAGTAGGCTTCTCAAATGCAATTGATGTAAGGGCTGTTGGTCCGTCTATTCATGCATTGTACTCAAAATTTTGCACTTGTGTTGAGTTAGTGTACATCAACAATAAGTGTAAGTTTAGATGATACAACAAATAAAGAAGCAGAAAATGCTAGTTTAGTTTAACTCTAACATAAGTACAACTTTTTGAACAATAATACATCAACAATAAGTAAGTTATGTTAAGAGTGGTTTGGGTTGGTTGGCCAAGCCGGTCTTGGATAGTGTTGGTTAGTTGCAGATAAGCACAACGTATTGTTGATAAGTCTTTGGTAGTTGTAGATATTGTCAAATCTTCTGATGAAGATATTGTAAACATGTGTATATATGTACTCGAGAATATCAATGAAAGGCAACACAGTTTCCGCAAACAAGTTCTACCTAAGTTTACATGGTATCAGAGCTGTGCAAAGATCAAAAATAAAATCGTAAAAGAGAGATTGTGAGAGATGACAAAAGGAGAGATAACGGCTGCAAGTAGCAGCAATAACGAGCAAATCAGTATGGGGTCTCCCTACTTTCTGTCGCACTCTGACAATCCTGGTGTGTTGATCACGCCAGTCACGTTGACTGGCGAGAATTATGCCGAGTGGGCATCAGAGTTGGAGAACGCGCTTCGTGCTAAGCGCAAGATAGGCTTTATCAACGGGACTCTGTCATGTCCCGACGAGAATGAGAAACCAGCAGGGGCCGAGTTGTGGAAAACGGTCAATTCCATGATTGTGGGGTGGATACGAGCCTCAATCTCACCGACGGTGCGTTCGACAGTGACGTTCACTCCGGATGCGTTTAAGATGTGGAGCGACTTGAAGAGAAGATTCTCAATTGGAAACGCTGTGCGAGTTCATCAACTCAAAGCAGAGTTAGCGGCTTGCAAGCAAGAAGGATCAACTGTTTTGGAGTACTTTGGTCGTCTTTCATCAAAGTGGGAGGAGTTGTTAAACTATAAACCCCTTCCAACATGTACCTGTGGAGCTTCTGAGAAGATTGGCAAGGATTATGAAGAGGAGAAAGTCCATATGTTTCTCATGGGGCTCGACGAGTCAAGGTTTGGTAATGTCTGCACCAATATAATTGGGATGGACCCCTTACCCGATCTGAACTCAGTTTACCAAAGAGTTGTACGTGAAGAGAGAAGACTTCTGACGTCGCGAGTAGAGACTAGACAGGACGCTGTTGGGTTTGTGACCAGATCTGATATATCGCAAGGAGATGACGGTAATCTGACTGGATCAACCGGTTATGTTGCAAGGAGTCGTGGAGGAGTAGTGTGTTCTAACTGTGGGAGAACAGGTCACGAAAAGAAAGAGTGTTGGCAGATAATCGGGTTTCCCGACTGGTGGACAGAAAGGAACCAAGGAGGAGATCGGAATGGACGTGGAAGAGGTAGGGGACGTGGACGTGGTCAAGTAAGATCAAATGCGACGCAGGCTCAGGTTTCTAACGGGACAGGCATCCCGACTTTGACAGCAGAACAATGGGCCTCTCTGACCGCTCTACTTGATCAGCAAAAGCCCAACCTGATTCCGGAGAAGCTTAATGGTAAGAAACAAACCGGCGAGGTTATCCTTGATACTGGAGCATCACACCACATGACTGGTGATGTAAGATTGCTTAGTGACATGCACGATGTGGTGGGATGCCCGGTGCGTTTTGCTGACGGAAGTCAAGTGCAGGCCACACGAAGTGGCGTACTGAGACTTTCAGACAAAATAACCCTGCCTCATGTTCTGCTAGTTCCTGATTTAAACTGCACATTGCTGTCTGTTGCGAAGTTACTGAAACAGACAGGTTGTCTTGCTGTGTTTTCTGATACACTGTGTGTTTTGCAGGACCGTTTTACGAGGACCCTGATTGGAGCAGGTGAAGAACGGGATGGTGTGTATGTTTATCAGGATGTTACGGTTCGGCGAGGTCTCAGAGTGAAGGCGGCAGAGGATAAGGCTTTGTGGCATCGCAGGCTGGGGCATCCATCTTTTGGTGTTTTGAGTTCTTTACCTTTTGTTTCTGGTGTTTCAAATCACTCCGACAAGTTTGGAGGATGTGATATTTGTTTTAAATCTAAGCAAACTCGCAGTGTGTTTTCAGAAAGTTATAATAAAGCTGCTATTCCTTTTGAATTAATACATGTGGACCTGTGGGGACCTTATAGAGAACCAGCATCATGCGGGGCAATCTACTTTCTTACAATAGTTGACGACTGCTCACGTGCTGTCTGGGTACATTTGTTGTTGGAGAAATCCGAGGTCAAAACAGTCTTGCCAAACTTCGTTTCCTTTGCTCAACGACAGTTCGGACGTTCAGTTCAAGCAGTCCGCAGTGACAATGGGACAGAATTCTTGTGTTTGTCAAAATACTTCACCGAAAATGGCATTGTTCATCACACCTCTTGCGTAGCAACACCGCAGCAGAACGGAAGAGTGGAAAGGAAGCATCGTCATATCCTCAACGTTTCAAGGTCAATCATGTTCCAGGCAAACCTGCCAATCAAGTTTTGGGGTGAGAGTGTATTGACAGCAGCACATCTCATCAATCAAACTCCTTCCAGCCTTTTGAACGGGAAATCTCCGTATGAGTGTCTCTATGGAAAGCCTCCCTCGTATGATAGAATAAAGACATTCGGTTGTTTGTGTTACGCACATAAACCATCTCGCGACAAAGACAAGTTTAAGGAAAGGAGCAGAAGGTGTATCTTCGTCGGCTATCCATTTGGGAAAAAAGGATGGAGGTTGTATGATCTGAAGACTGAAGAATTCTTTGTATCACGAGACGTGGAATTCACTGAAACGTCATTTCCATTCCTTGATGAACAAGTCACCTCGTCTGCAGAACCCTCTTCTCCACCTCAGATTCTGGATAGGGGAGAAGACATTGAGCCAGTCCTGGAGTCCAGGGGGAGTGATTCTGTCTCAGAAAAGGATCAAGGTGACGCAGTGGTTGTCACCGAGGAAGAAGCGCCTGTGGTAGCAGAAACAGAGGCTCCGGTTGCAGCAACAGAGCAAGCTGCAGTTACAGAAACAGAACCGAGCCTTGGCAGGGGTCATCGTGTCCCAGTGCCTTCTGTGAAACTTCGCGACTACGTCTCATACAACTCTCACTGTAGTCCCGATAAACAACACACACTCCCAGTTCATCCCACTCCGTCTCGGCACTCTGAAACGAGTCCAAGTAAAATCAGTTCCTCATATCCTATTACGGCCTATGTCTCTGACGCAGTGTTCTCAGAGAGACACCAAGCTTTTCTTGCAGCAATTTCTTCAGGTGTAGAGCCACGAAATTGGAGAGAAGCGATGCTGGATCCAGTGTGGAATGGAGCTATGTCGATGGAAGTGGTAGCTTTGGAAGGACAGAGAACTTGGGATGTCATGGAGTTGCCTAAGGGCAAGAAGGCGCTGGCTTGCCAATGGGTGTTCAAATATAAGTACAACGCAGACGGGACAGTAGAGAGACCAAAAGCCCGACTTGTTGTGTGTGGTAACAGACAAGTAGAAGGAGAAGATTATGGTGAGACGTTTGCGCCTGTGGCGAAAATAACCACAGTTCGAACATTGTTGGAAGTTGCAGTTGCAAAGAATTGGGAGGTGCATCAAATGGACGTGCACAACGCTTTCTTACATGGAGATTTGGAAGAAGAAGTTTACATGAAGATGCCTCCCGGATTCTATGGTGAGAGGCCTACAAAAGTGTGCAAGCTGAGAAAATCTCTCTATGGCTTGAAACAGGCACCGCGTTGTTGGTTCGCCAAACTCACGTTTGCTCTCAAGAAGTTTGGCTTCAAACAATCGTATTCAGACTATTCCTTGTTTACGTACATCAGTGGTGGTCGTAGCTTGCGTGTTCTCATCTATGTAGATGATCTGATAATAGCTGGTGATGACATGGAAATGATGAAGAAGTTCAAGACTTATTTGAGTGATTGGTTCAAGATGAAAGATTTGGGTAAAGCCAAGTACTTTCTTGGCATTGAAATAGCGAGAGGACCGATGGGAATGTTTCTTTCGCAGAGGAAGTATGCTCTCGACATCGTCTCGGAAGCATGTCTGTTGGGATGCAAGCCTGTAACAACGCCTATAGAGCAGAACCATAAGTTGTTGGCTGACAAGGGGCCATTTTATTGAAATCCAGTAAGGTTTAGAAGAGTCGTTGGTCGCCTAGTGTATCTTGCAATCACAAGACCTGAGTTGAGTTATGTGATTCATGTTCTGTCGCAAGTGATGCATAAGCCAAGAGAGGCACATTGGGACGCGGTGGTACGAGTTCTCAGGTATTTGAAGGGTTGCCCAGGACAGGGTATTATGTTAAAAGCGGTGAGTGATCTTCGCATACGCGCCTTTTGTGACTCAGACTGGGCTTCATGTCCGTTGACAAGAAGATATTTGTCCGCGTTTGTTGTGTTGTTGGGAGACTCACCCATTTCTTGGAAGACTAAGAAGCAAGACACGGTGTCTCATTCCTCTGCAGAAGCGGAATATAGGGCGATGGCAGCGACATTGAGAGAATTGAAGTGGCTGAAGCGTTTGTTGGGAGATTTTGGTGTTCGCCACAATGATCCTATGATGATGTTCTGTGACAGTAAATCAGCCATCCACATAGCTACTAATCCCATGTTTCACGAGAGGACGAAGCACATTGAGTCGGACTGTCACAACGTCCGTGATGCAGTACAAGATCGGTTAATCACGTTGCGCCATGTACGAACAACTGAGCAACTTGCTGACTTGATGACGAAGGCTTTGGGGAGTTCCTCGTTTCAGTACCTGCTTAACAAGTTGGGCGTTCGTAATCTACACGAACCAACTTGAGGGGGAGTGTTAAGAGTGGTTTGGGTTGGTTGGCCAAACCGGTCTTGGATAGTGTTGG